TCCAGAACTGGAGACATCAGGGCCACAGAATTACAAATGGGTAGAAAGGAACATGCAGTAGGGTTTGTCTGATAAGAGCAAGAAGTGGCCTTACTGGGAATGTGCACTGACTACACATGAGACTCTCCCACAGCCGCTCTTGGCAGAGTGTGGAGATTGTGATTATAATGACTCAGGTGTACTGAATGCTTGTGTGAGGCCCAGTGCATTGTTGTATTTTCATTACTAGTCCTCTTGGGGGGATGCTAACTGGAATTTTGCATGACACATCAGGGATTTCCTTGAAAATGTCTACGGATTATAACCAGGTTAACCAAACAGTGATATGTCTCTCTCTTTTTTATTTATTTATTTATTTTTTTAACTTATCATTTAATGCCTATCCTTTTTTTTCACAATCCCTCAGACATCTTGTCACTCCTTAACGGATGCTGAACCACAGACTGGAAACTACTGCCATAGCTGGTTCTGAATCTGGTTAATTAAATGTTTCATGTTAGTATGGTAAAAAGGAATGTAATGTCAAATTAGGGGAATCTGATATCTCTGGCAGAATTCACGACCACTCAATGACCCCTTTGTTGTCTCTGTAGCTTATTTTAGTATACTCAGTGTCATTTGTTAGATCCGTTTTCCTCATTTTGTCATGTTATTCTCTGCAACTGTTCATGCTGCAGTCTTGGCCACGTCTCCCCTTGCAAACATGTCTGCTTAAACAAAGGATTAATATAATAGACGTGTGTCTTTTGTCATATTAAATTATCTCAAATCATTATTGTTTTAATTGTGACCTGACCTGCTGTTGAAAGTTAAGCTCTCAGCTCACATGTAGGCTATGCATCATAGTGTATGTGAATAATTCCTACAAGCATGACTGTTGCGCAGACGTGGGTGAGACTTTCGGCCATGGACTGTGTTGCAACGAGCTCTACGGCTTGACAAGTTCAAACCAGTTTACAGGTAATCCAGGGAGGGCCACCCAACCCCAGTCAACCCACTCCCCACTACTAAAATGTTCAAAACTGTGTCCTTAATGTCTGTGTTTTTACCAGGCCGACTGCAGACCACACAGGTCGGTGTACTCTGGCGCTGGCACCTGATAGTTCATGAGCATTGATTAACCTCGGCGACCAATCAGCTCCACCCTGGTCGCATTGTTTGCGCTAGGTGTGTCTGACTCACATCCTCCATGAGCATGTTACCTGTCATCGCCCAGGTCAGTATTTCTCCTCCGCGTCAATTACTACACCGGGTCGAAGCCATCCGAGTCTGGCTACCGGAGTCTTATCATAACGTTAATCATTCAGACTGATAAGAAGCCAAACCCCGACCGCCGTTACAATGATCACAGTATGGCTGCTTAACGGGGCGAAAACGGCCCTCGGCGCACTCGCCAAAAAGTAGTCGGCGCCGTGCGTAACGGAGATGTCAGGGGCTTGCCCGCGTCCAACATTTACATTTAGCCCGAACTAATCCTGACAATTTGTAGAGCGGACCAGAGGCAGGACTGACACACAGCAAATAAATAAGTAAACGTGACTCGAGACTCCTGTTTCTCTGGAAGTGTAAAGAGATTGGGGTTCGATTACCAAGGAGAACCCGATCCCTGTGGCCACCAAGCTGCGTAACGACAATAGAGACGCTCGCTAATTATGCAACATTTATGACACAGTGGAGGAAATAAATAAGATAAAGTGGTCATTTTTTGCCGAGAAAACAGCGCTAATGAACTAATGAACAATAATGTCCAGTAACCACAGAGGCTGAGCACAAAATTCAACATTCAGAATAAAGCAGACTCACCGTTAGGACAGGGGGAAACAAAAGGCAAGGAACTATTTCACTAGAAAGCTGCTCCTCTCTCTCTCTCTCTCTCTCTCTCTCTCACACAGCCTCCTCTTCAGTCTTGAGCAAGATTAACCAGCAACACATATCTTTTCCGTGATTTAACTTCGCTCTCCAGCCAACTTTTTTTTTTTTTTTTTCTTCATTGTCATAGGGCGTGTGCCTGAGAGAGGAGGAATGTGAAAAGAGGCGCAGCTCGAGCGGCGCAGCAGTTTTTCACCAAGCATTCTGTACCAAACATTTCCGTTGTTCAAAACAACAGAGCGAGTCTTTATAATGTGCTTTAATAAATGGGTTTTATTTTCTGCTTTGATGCACTCATCTGGCGCGTTTTCCCTTTTCGTGGCACACTTTCTCCCAACGTGTAGTAACAGGCGCGCGCCCATGCCCAAAGTGCGCGTGTTCAAAGCTTTCCCAAGACAGATGGATTCAGGCCACACCCTGAAACTTTACTCACTTGTGTAGAGAATGGAAAAGATAGCGTTGACTGGCGAGGAAACTTTAGAACAAACAAACAAACAAACAAACAACTGAAGGACTCAGCAGCGAGTAAACAACTCTTTAGATTTTATTTCCAGCTTTTAACATATTAATCTTTCTCTGCCGACACACCACACCTCTGTTTGGGTCCTAGTGGGAAGTGATTAACTCCACAAGGTGTGTTTTCCAAGAATTAGGAACGCCAAGAATACATAGTGCTGTTAACACACACATTCTCATTCCCATTCTGCAACTTCCTTGTAGACCTGTAAGCACAAGCAGCTGTGTGTATGTGTTGGTGTATGAGTGTGGGTGTGCTGGGAACTAGGACTGGTTCTAATATTGCTGAAACTGTTCAATAGTATTCTGTGACAGAACAGTCTGCCAGTTGCCGGTGAGAGGAGGGGGGTGAGGAGACATTCAGACTACTGATGAAAAACACAGCATTTAGCATTCGAATCAGACTTAGGGTGTTTTCCATTTGGCCATTTTCCAATTTTCTCTAACTGTATGGCACACAGACAATTTAGTAACACGTGGAACTGTAACAGTGCATCTGAGGACACTCTATTGGCTGAACCCCCCATGTTTGCTCGCAAGATGCCCAATCAGCTGCCAGAACTCCAGGAAGTTTAGCTCTCCATCGTTGTTCTCATCCAATGAGCTCATGAGCTGGTCCATGGCAGTGGGGTCGCCAGCATTCTGCAGGAAAACAGGAAGATGCAACATAAAGTATTTAAAAACAATAGAGAGAGTCAGTGTGGACTGACTGTGATGATATTGGTTGTGCGTGTGGGGCGATGAGACAGACGCAAGCTGACACCACTGGCATGTACACCGGTTAAATAATTCATGCAACATCAGCAGAGGTGGTTTGGCACAAGGATCTATTGCTCTGTCACCATCTAGTGGCCAGTGGGATTATTTTAAACTGTTGCATGCGAGCAGAAACACATGGAATTTTCCACACTTGGAAAAGGCAGCCTTGGATTTTTTTGTTGGCCTCAAGAACTGCTACTTTGTGCTGTTGTGCTCTGGTTAAACATGCAGAGTTCTGACAACACAACCACAACTAAACAAGACTAAAGTGCAACTCCAAAGTCTCTAAAGGGTGGCAACTCTTTACGACAAACATTGTTTTTGTGGAACGCAGTGTAGTGTTATATCCTGTCCCAGAATGAGATGTAACTGCTCATTCCTGCTCAGGATCACAGGCAGGAGGGTAAAGAGTAAAATATTCTGAAATAATCTTTTCAGGCACTGTTATTTGACTCAGAAGTTACAGCAAGACCACATGCATTGAAAACTGCCCACGTAAAAGAACATAAGTAGCTGTTTGAAGACTAACAGTCTAAGTATGACTAACAGTTAATTATATGGTCAGGGCAAAAAGGGCCAATGTGGCATCCAGATGATACCCATTTCTATATGATTACGCCCTTTGGAGAAAGCTTTTTTTTTGTCTGACGAACAAAAAGATTCAGAACAAACTTTGAGTATCTTCCTGATTATCCTGTATCGGTCTAACTGCAGGTGACTCTTGTCAACTGGTAGCTGAGTGCAGTACTTTATCATGAATCTCCAGCTAAGACTAGTGATATTATGTTTTCGTTACTTGTTATTACAGGGACTTATGAAAAAAGGTAACACAAAACAAGAAAAACTCCAACAAGGCTTTGTCCATTTGTAAATACTTTAAGTCTCCTGCCTGTGTGTGTCTCTCTGCCACAAACCCATTTGTTCCTATTAAGGATATTTAGCCCCAAATAAATACCTTTAATCCTAAAAAAGATAAATGGATTCCGACAACGCAACAGTGCTGAACACTTCAGCACTGTAGCGTTTAACTCGTTACTCAAAAAGGAGTAAATAGTGCATTTTTGTGGGGACTTTTGTTTCCAGCTGCAGGCACACGTTTGGTGCAGTAGTGAGTATTTATGGCAGCAGGACAATGTGTGTGCGATCAACTCAAAATAAACTCCAGTGTCAGGGTTCATGGTAATGAAGGACGGACCTTGCTCAGTGGGGTGGCTTTTAATATCTTTCTATAGTTGCTGGTGTGTTTTTAAACCTTTTTGGACAACAATGGAGCTGTACAGCACAGAGGAACAAACTACATCAGGGTTTGGATACCTAAGACACATTTAAATCAGTAATTGTTGGTTTGGGTATTCCCCTGGCATTTGCTGACCCATTATTATCCTCTACGTCAATTCATTACCAGTTTTAGAGCAGTACACTATATGCTTGTATTAGCTATGTCCATCTCTGAAGCATAAACCAGCATATTTATGTTACTGTTTGAATCAAAAACAGACAAACAAAAGCTAATTGGTTAAATATTTCAGTGGATGTTATAGATGTTGGAGTGAAAACCATCCACCCGCTGTTACGCCAATATGTAGACTACACAACTACTCATTATTGCATCTTTACCTTGATGAAGCTGGGGAGCTCTAATGTGACCAGACTGCGAAACTCATCTCTGCTCAGTGTGTCAGAGGAACCGTCACTGCCAGCATACGCCTTGAACTTGGACACCAGCACACCAATAGCAGACTCCATCACAAGTCAAGAGGCGCACAGGGAGGATCTTCAGCCAAATTTTCAGGAAAAATAAAAATGAGAAAGGTTGTTGATCATAATAATAATACTTAATTTACAAAATACAGTTGACTTATAATACAGATGAAGCTCAAGCTAGGATAGAAGAGAAACAACGTGATCTGATTTGATCAGGTAACACAAATCATAGAAACTCACCAACTCAGGTATGATGTGGGTAAGTTTTGAGGACACACATCTTCCTGGTCTTTTTCTAGCCAACCTCTCCTGGCACAGAAGATAAATAATTCACTAATTGCTTGCTATGCCTGTGTTTCTGTTCACCATTCATTGCGACCAGTAAAAATTTAAACCACGTTTCCCCAAAAAATCACTGACTTTTTTCCATGACGTGATTTCAATTTCAGTGTGTAACTAGTCTCTGGAAGGAGTTAAGGATTGCTGAGTGAATCACCTCATTCTGGAAAACCCCAGACTAACTCAGACTGACAATCAGAGTTAGGACGGGTTAAAGAGATTACAATGTGTGTGCACAAATTGTTAAATGTTTTGCTTAGTTCATGCCAAAGCATGGACAATAGTCTCACATTTTTCCTTTGCTATGGATGAGTGTGTAACTGTGGGCAAATTGCTTTAGAGAGCCAAAAGAAAGCAGTAAATCAGGTATAATCATACAGCCTGTGTTGCAAAAACTTTTGAGAAGGAGGCACTTGGGTTTCACCTCAGAGAAGTCACATTACTTAAGCCAAAGGTCTGACGGGATGTGCACAATTGGCATATTAGGGAGGCAGTTAGTGCTAACAAGCACAATGGCTTTATCATCCAAACATCCACACACCTTGTTTTCTTGTCTCAGCTGCATGACACACACACACACACACACACACACACACACACACACACACAATCTACATCCCCATACACCTGAAACAGCAGTCTACAGTTCTTCTCTTTCCATTCCCTTGGCCATCATTGAGGAAGGAGAGTGCAGCTACAAACACAAAATAAATGGCTTACAGAGAGGACTGAGACTTCATATACAGTATAAAAGCCTCAGGGTTTTTTTCCTCATGGGGCGATGCTGCTTGTTGTTATGATTAATGTCTTATGATGCTTAGCTGTAGGTTTACTTGTGTCTAAGGATTTGTTGGTCTTCGTTTTAAAACGTAATTCTTGAATTCCTTGACTGCCTGCTGTACCCACCCATCCAGCACTTGGCCTTCAGAGTGAATGTATTTTATGCTTTAAAGGTTTAAAAGTCAAGGTGTTTGAAGCCATAGGTGTATATAGCAATGCTGATTTACAATGCTTCCTTCCCCAGACTTTATTAGGTAGATATTTATTACAGAGAAGCTGTTAGGGAATGTATACTGTATGTGCATAAGGCGTTGCTGTTCCAGAGACAGCGGTATTAAAGTATTGTATGCACGTATCTGCTTGTGTGACATTACCACTGCAGCTGGAAGGTTGAATGGCACCTGACTTTGTTTTGAGTGGTTAAATATAAATACTGTTATTTCTCTTAGATCGTATAGAGATATGCAGTATATATGTAAATAGTTTCAATATCTAACCGGGCTGGTAACTCAGGTATCTAGGCTCAAACAGACACTATGAATGACTGACAAAACAGACTCAGTGACTGAATAATGTGAAGTTATCATCATCAATCTCACTGACTCCCTTTTCTTTCTTCTCTTCCTCTGTTGCCATCAGCTATGTTGTTGCACCCATCCAGATACAGGGGAAAGAAAAAGAAAGGGTCAGCAGGAAAATGATCCCAGAGGACGGAAAGAGGATGAAGTTAACATCAGTCTAGTTGAGGCGGAAGGAGTTGATTGCTCTATAATGGCACACTCAGGAATACATCACTCATGTTTTAGCTGTCAGCAAATAATTAACAACTTTGTGCAGATTCCACTGACTTTCAACAGACATTGGTGGCACAATTGCTCAACCACACATAAACTTATTAATATTCAATAAAACAAAAGGCCTTAGATTCTTTCTAACCTTGCAGATTCATCAGGAAATCTTGACTAAAAAGATCAAATTCAGATGAAGCAAGAAGACCAGAAATCAGTGTAATAAAATGTTTGCAGGTGGCATTCTCCGAAGATACCAAGAATGTAACAAGTGAGTGAAATTAAGACAAAATCAAGTTATTTTATCACAGGGATGCACCCAATTTATTATTCTGTTCTCATGACAGTAATAGTGGCAAACATGAACATCCTATCCATACAAAGCTCTCTATGCTGCCACACAGTATGTGGTTCTGCATTGACACCCAATAAAATACAATCTCTGTGTGGCTGAAGGCCCTTGAATCAGCAACATTTTATAAGTTAGCGTGTAAACAGGAAAGAAAGAAAACACATTGTTTTTGGAAACTAATTCCCATGACCAACCTAATCAATAAAAAGCAATTGCTACATTCACGATAAAACAATAATTAAGGACATTTTAGTGCACAACATGAGTTCTGTACCCGAAAAGAAACACACATGCTCAACATGTCGGTATTTTATGTGCCAACTGTTTGTTTATTTATATTATGCCAACCTCTATAAAATAAGTTAATTATATATTTCTGCATTTCTGCATAGTTCTTAAACACATCTGATGCAATATGTACAAACATTCAAAACAAAGTCAATGCAGTCTAATTTCACATAAAATATTCACTAAACTTTTTTTCACTTCACCTTTTAGAAAAACTTGTGTTTTATCTAAAGCTAATCCGACATTAAGAGACTGAAGCAGTTAATACATAAAGATTGAGTACTGCAGAAACAGTCCTGATCAGTGAATAGGTAGGCGTCAACAGTGCACAGTGCTGTTTGCAGAGGAAGAGGTGTAGTGTGTGAATAAGACTATACAGCATCTATTCCTGGATGAGAGTCAAAGCAGGGTACCATCCAACTCAATCTAACAGGAAAAACGACCCACCACAGTGAAATTAAATCATAAGTTGAACTTGCAGGCGGAAGGGGTAAAAGAAGCTCCTGTAAAAAGGATAACAGGGTGACATACTGTGTATACTTGTAAGCATTTGTGGTCCATTATAAAATGTTCTCTTTGAATAAGCCCTCATCCGTCATGACAGCTCTTAGCTACTTTGAACAGATCCATCAGTTCTATCGCTTCATCAGCCCCGTGCCCGTCCGCTCTCCTTCCTCCACTCCCCTTTGGATCTCTCCTCTTTCTCTCTGGCTCCAGGCAGTGAAAACCTTTTCATGACATCTTTTTCAAACCCTTCCATTTCTTCTTCTAAGGCGCTATCCTCCTCTTCGTCATCGCTATCCTCCTCTTCGTCATCGCTATCTCCTTCCACCATGTCTTCCAAAACATCTCCCAAATCTTCGGCGAAATCTTGAAAGCTCATCTGGTCGTGAACGAAGACTTCGTCCTTGAAGAACTCGTTGGCTAGCTTTTTGAGCTCTTCTGTTTTGGATGCCTCCACCCCCACCTCCTCTGCCTTGGCTAGGTACGTTTGGAGGACGGCCTCGAACTCAGGGAAGGGGACAGGGAGAAGACCCTCAGCCTTGGCACAGGTCTCCAATGAGTTACAGTGTTGTGGTGGTTTGGGGTTGTGCTGGAGGCGTTCCCGCTGCTGGACCCAGTACTCAGGCTGCTCCATGGAGGGTCGGCGGTGTGTGTGAGGAGGCTTCTTGTCTCCCCACAGATGCTCTTGCTTGTGTTCGTGATTACCGGTAAATTTGTCCTCGTCTTTGCGTTTCGGGGAGCTTGATCGGTCTTTGTTCCAATCGCCATTGAGTTTTTTTTCTTTCTGTCCTCCTTCTTTCTTTTCCCACTGTTTCCTCTCAGCCATGTTCTTCCACTCCTTATCATCTTTACCATTTTTACTCTTCCACTCGTTTTCTTTCCCTGGTTTCCTCTCATCCTTCCCCTTCCTGTCTTTGCCATGATTTTCGCTCTCTTCCCGCTGTTTCTTTTCACCCTTTCCTTTCCCTTCTTTACCATGATCTTTGCCATTTTTACTCTTCCATTCATGGTCTTTCTTCCACTCTTTCTTTTCACCTTTCTCTTTCCAATCTTTTTTCTCCCATTTCTCTTTGCCACTTTCCTGATTGCCATCTTTTCCTTTCTTCCATTCTCTCTCTCCCTTCCATTCCCTACCCACATGCTTTTCTCCGTGGTCTTTTCCTACCTTCCAATCCTTCTTCTCCTCCTTACCCCTCCATTGTTTACCCTCATTCACTTTCTCATGCTTTGCCTTTTTCCAGCTTTTCTCCTCCTTCAATTCTTTTCTTTCACTCTTTTCTATCCATTCTTTCTTTCCTTCCCTTTCCTTCCATGGCTTTCCTTCGTCACCTCTGCTTGCCTTTTCTTTCTTCCACTCCTTCTCTTTCCATTGTTTTGTCTCATCACTGTGCTTCTTTTGCTTACCTTCCTTATCTTTCTCCTTGTCAAGCTTTCCCTTTTTCCATTCTGTTTTGCCTTCATCCTTGCGCTCCTTTTTCTCTCCTTCCTTCCATTCAGATTTGTCTCTCACTTTGCCCTCTTTCTTCTCTCCCATGTCCTTTTTATCCATCTTCACATCTTTCTTTTTCTCCTTATGCTCAGGCTTCCAAGGCTGTCTCTCTGCAGATCCAGCTGTGGCCTGTGTGCTGTCCTCCGGCTGGCCACTGGGGGGCAACGTAGTGGGCTTCACAGGTGCTTGAGCTGCTTCACTGGCTGCTGAAGGAAACACAAGAAGTCACTACAACTACAAAGATGAGGTGTGAGCATTCAAGTGAGAATGACAGGAAAGAAGAAAAAGGAAGAAACACATGACCCTTTCCCTAGCTGTCTAATAACTATCATCCTTCTACATCCTTCTACATCCTCTACGTCCCCTCCCTACCTCCTCCCTCTGTCCCTTTGTACCTGAGGTGAGTTTTAATTCAGTCACAGTGGCTCTCAGTGTTTCTAGTTCTTTCTGTAGGGCCGGGACAGACTCCAGCTCTCTCTTCATCCTCTCGTTCTCTTTCTGAAGGACAGGGAGAGATGCCACCTCTTTCTTCAACCTACTGTTTTCCTTCTCCACCTCCTCCCACTGCAGCCGCTCCTTTGCTCCCTCTGCTGCCTGTCCCTCGGCTACTTTTAGCTCTTCTTTCTGTGCCTGTTTGAAAAAAGAAGAACGGTAGAAGAGGGTCCTGTGAGAATATTACACACTCAGTGACACGTTTATGCGCGCGTACACACAGATTTATGTATATATGTATACTGCAAACACACACCCACACACCAACCAACACCCACACACACAGAGGAGAGATAATGTGAGAGACAGAATGGAGTCACACCTGAAGTTGGGCTTGTAGCACAGAAATCTGCTGGTTCCCTTTGACTAACTTATTTAGAAGCTCTGTACTATCAGCATCTACTGGGGGTGGAGGAACGTCTGGATTAAGCCACTCCTGTCAACAAATTGCACACAGAGCAACACAGTGGCGAGATTTTAGATGACGTCTCATAATTGTTATTGCCAGACAGAGTAGCCGAGAAGTGAGAGAACTGAGATGAGAAAGAACAAAAGTCCAGAGTAGCAGTTGGTAGACAACAGCAATAATGCTGCCAGTGTTGTGGGTGGTCTCCTACAGAGCATATCACACTAAAAATTCATGTGGTGGCGATATCCAATGTACTGTAAAATGGGGACACACAAAATGCTCTTATAATGAATAAAAGACCAGAGAGAACACTGACAGAACAGAAGGAGAAAAGAAAAATAAGTGACAAAATGACGTCAGACTGACCTGTTTTATTGGTAACTCTGCGTCTTGCACTTCCATCGTACCATAGTCACTCTCTGCAAATGTTTTATGCAAAGCTTAATGTTCATGTGAATAACACCCAAACAATAATCAAGTTTTTTACAATAAAATGTGTACTCCTTGACTATTTTGCTAATTTTCGGTTTCAATTTTGACCTTATCCGCCATGCTCTGGAAATGTTTACAGTGATCATGCTAAGGAGCATTTATAAAAACCTAAAAACCAAGTTTCACTAGAAAAAGTATGGTGGCCAAGCAAAAAACTACATTTACATTTACATTATGGTGATGTGGTACATTCATTTAACAACCGCAGATAAGCTTTGTGGCATAAGTCAGGAATCACTCTCTTGCTCTTGCTTACAAAAGTCTAAAAGCGTGCAGTGCTTTAAAAACGCGCTTTTACTGTCAGATGCAAACGTTTTTTTCTGCATGCACGTTCCCACAAGCAAACACATGCGGTGGGCAAGCAAGCACTCATTCATTCACTCACTCACTCACTCACAACCTACCCTCATTCAGGTCCATGAAGACACCTGCAGGTATAATACACCTCAGTCTCAGAGCACCCTTTGTATTGTTTACTGCTAATAACTCTTCACTTTCCTCTAACTAACTTTAGAATCTTAAATATAATCTAACATTAAAAGGCAAAACAAAATGGGAGGTCAACTTTCTCAACGAGTCGTTTGGGGATACCTACCTGAGAAAAAGATGGTGCCGAGGCCTAACAGAATGACAGCACCCAGGATGCACTTGTTCACAGAGAACCCGCTGTCGTCCTCCCGCTGTGGCAGCTGAAACTCTTCCTCTCCTTCCTCTTCCTCGTCTGTCCTTCCGATACGCTCCAGAGCGGCTAAGAGAGACCTCCTTCTCCTCACCTCTGGCTCTCCCTCCTCTCCCGTCTTCTCAGTCCTCTCTTCACCCACCTCTAAATCCACAGGGGAGTCTAGACCAGTGGAAGAGTATGAGAAGCTGTTGTTAAAATATATCTGGACTATTACTTTTTACAGGTTTAATCTATTTTATGGGTACCTCCAAAGCATAAATGTTTGAAACACTGATCATTTAATGTGAATGTATCCATTAGATTATTGTATTTTATGCCACATTTATTATTTTAAAGCAAAGCTGTTGCACATTATTCAGCGCAAATTCGCTCATCACTTACACTGTTGATGTTAGATAGCACAGCAGCTATAGCGCTGTAACCGGTCTGATGCTGCAGTATGACAAAAAACTCATCGTGGGAGGTAAGGCTTCTTTATTGGCTCTGTTGTGCACAGCACCCTGGTTAATTTGTTCCACTGCCATTTCTTATTTTCCTTTATAATTCATAAATAAGGCTTAAATCTTGATTAAATTATTTTGAAAGTGGATGTTTTTCATTTGGCAACTTCTTGCACCTCGAAACAACAATACTTAACGTTTCCAAAACTATCTGCATCGCATTTTATTGCTAAAAAGCAACGGTACTGTAAAATGGAACTATAAGGAACTCACTGTACTCTAGTTGGTAAACAAAACGTCTGGAGAAAAATGCACAACAGAGCAAAAGAAGACTCATTTTTTAATGCTGTAGTCAGAAAAAGAGCTGCAGACCAAAAACACCACACTGCAAAAAACTTTAGAGGTCCAAGTCCCTCTGAAGCCAATTTAATTCTGCAGGGTGTCATGCAACTAAAGGTTTCTCTGTCACATCATGCTCCCTGCCTCATACCAACCACAGCCTCTCCAGACAACCTCCTGGCCCAGATACAGAACAATTCCATTACCAGCTGGTCCACCAAGTACACTTCAAACACAAATAGTACATACGGCTTAAGGAAAGGATACAGGCATACCAGGTGATGATGTTTGCCATGTAAATAACAACATACAGATAATAAAAACTGATGCTGGGGTAATTCAAATATGAATGGAATTATGATGCGACGGAAGTCTCGTTGTTCATACCTGCCTGTTTCCCTACGTCAGTCGTCCTCTGAGACAGGTCTGACTCCTCCACTTCCTGTTGTAGCTCCTCCTCATGCAGCGGGTGAAGTTTTCCTTCCTGTGTGAGCCCCTCTTCTTCTTCTGTGAACTCCACCCCTCCCAGAGTCTCTGTGCTCAGCAGTGAGGCTGGGGGCTCATCAGGGGAGGGGGTTATGTGGGTGTAGGAGTCAGAAAATGAATCGGGGTCAGGGCTGGGCTGTGCCGGGCCCTCAGGTAGGCCGTGTGACTGGCTGAGTGCATCAGTGCCAGGGACAAAGCTGCCGCACACTTCCAAAGTGGTCGGAACAGGGGCATCAGTGATGGCACTGGGCACAGAGGCGTGTTGCCCTGTGCTTGTGTCTCCGCTTAGCTCTGCTGTTTTTTCTTCTGATACCTAGGCATAAGAATCAGGTAATTAACATTCTTTCAGGTATTTCACTGTCAGTTAAAGGTTTTAGTTCTCCCTTTAGCATTTTTGGTTTTAAACTCAAACAATGTGTCTAATTAAAAAGAGTTAGATGAGATGTCCTTTACCAGTCTACAACAAACAACAATTTGCTGTTTTATGGGGAGTTATGTGCTGGACTATTTCTTGTCAAGGACCAGTTGCCAGGCAACCAGCAGTTGCGGCTGGAAAAATAGTCCACAATTGTCCAGGTAGATATTGTTATCTTTTGAATCAAGCCACTATAGCTGTTTCCAGTCTTTATACTAAGCTAAGCTGGCTAGCTGCTGGCTGTAGCCTTATACTTAATGAGACTGATATTTATATTCTCATCTAACTCTCTGCTGAAAGTCAGTAAATGTACCTACTTTTATTGTTGTTATTTAAATAGAAACTTTGTGCTGTAGATAATTTTATAACTCCATCAAGAAGCTGTAGCCTGGTAACAGTACTTATAATTCGAATGGTGATAAGTGGCTACACGCCCACTCAGCCAATTAAAAGTAGACTTTAGTATTCACTCAAACAATGGTATAATTCCAAAAAAAAAGACAGCAGAATGTGCTCATTGGCCAACCATAACTACATATTCAGCTAAGCTAAGTCATAAATATGACATGACAGAAAATGATGTCTATAGCTGTCTCACCTGGTGGCCCTCCACAGGGAGCCCCTCTGCAGACTCTGCACCACTTGCAGGCTGGTTCTCCCCAGAACCTGGATTGTCAAGCACAGACACAGGAAACAAGAAGGGCGACTTTTAGAGCAACAGTTTAACTTATTTCAGTTGTGACTCTTTGAAATAGGGGTGGGCAATATGGCCAAAATCTTCAACCATGGAATATGTAATTATATATCCCTCAACTGAGAAATGGTTAAAAACTATATCATCACATTTGATTATTTTCTTCTTTTATTTCTAACTTTCATACAAACAAAGACAACTGTCTCACATTCTTCTCCCTCCTGCTCTGTGTTTACAATTTCACTCTCCTCCTCAATGTTTTCTTGTTACTCTCTTCTTCTGTAGCGGTTGGCAAAACCAGCTTAAAGCTTACCAGCTTTATAAGAAAAGGCAAATGTGTAAAAGTAAGTAAAAATTAAAGCTAGAAATTATAACAGGTTTGTTTGTGAAATATCTCCCATTCGTAAAATGTATTGTGACAAACACCTGCTGCAGATGTAAGGCTTTCTTCATGATGCTCCGTCCCCTCTGCCAAAGGCCTCAGGGTTTCAGCGGCGGTCTCCTACAACAAAGAAACAACAGTCAACAGAAATAGACGCACAGACATTACCATTTAGATATTATAGCCAGAGCAATCTAGGCTAATCTGAAAACCACAGTCTATCTTTTGACCCTTCTGAGTAATAGTTAATTCATAAAAAAGAAATGAAACAAAGGCAGTCTTATTAGAGAAACCTACTTCATATTCAGGTGACCCAAAAGAAAATCAATTGGGACAAGGACTTTTCTTTTTTAAAAATCATGCATTTTCAATGAGGTCATGCACAGCGACTCTCTCCACATGTTCCTATGCTCTTTACACAGTGGTGATACCTCAGGAGTGAGGATGGTCCAGCTGTTGTTAGCACTGCTGCCACCAGACATGGCCCCCTAGAGGCTTTGCCTGTCTCCTGCAACAAAAGAGGAGCACACAGAACAGATCACATGTAATCATCAGCACTGGGACGAAATCAAACGAAACTGATGAACGTATGAACCTACACTCCTTTGTGGTTTCAAAACACTGTGCGTCAAAGCCGGCTGTGTGATTTTCCAACAAGGTAAATCCTAAATCTATAGACGGCAGAGTGGGAAAAACAGCTCTGTGGATTTCACAATGCACTTACTGAAGTTAGCAGGTGTGTTGTTCAGAGGCCTGTCACTAGTCTACAACAGGGCGACAGTGTGAGTACTGCTGCTTGAAGAAAAAAAAAACTATTTACATCCTCTGTACCCGCACACAGGATTTGAATACATGCTTTTGCTTTTCAGCCTCACCCATTCTGCCAATAAAGGAGCTACTGTAACCTGTTGTTAGAACACTGCTGTGTGTCTGTGCATGTGTGCAGGAAGTCCAGTTCCCTGGAACCATTCACTTCTTCATTAGTAGTTTGTGTGTGCTGTGGGCCTTTTGGTCACCCTGGCTTTTGACTAGCTTGGAAATGTTTTGGCAGAGACACGGGTAACTAAGGCCGGCACTATTCTGAAGATACAGACAGAAGAATGGGCTGTATATTTCAAAGCTACTGGTCTGGTAATATATGTCTACAAACCACCAATCATCAACTGTACATTGTATGGACCTGTTCCTATGTGTACATTACTATGGAACTACAATTTTTACGGTAAGATAAACATTTGGAGCAACTGTTTTTCCTTTCCCTATACATCTGTAGTGATGTACCTGACCTACACAACTCTTTCCGAGACACATGACACTGACTTTTCACCACCTGATCAGATATAAGCGTATCACATCTGTATAAAGCCTTTCCTTTCAAACTGCAGAGGGTGACATAACAGAGACGCATATTTACTATGTGTAGTCTGGCTTTTCTTTCAGTGAAAGCAGAAAGAACGAACCACTTAAGTTAACACCACATGGTCTGGGTAATGGCACACTTCACTCCCAAAATTCAATTCTCTCCCAGCTCCGCAATTTAGGTCTCCTAATCGAGTGCCTCCCAAGAGGAGTCTTCTGAATCTAGCCTAGGGCCCTAGGAGCATTGTGGAGCATATAGTGGAATGGCTTAAATAGATACCAGCTAAATATAGCTACCATGAGATTGACTGGAGACAGAGAGAGGGAGCATGCAGAAGATGGCCATGGGGAACACAACAGAGGCACAGATGTATTCTAAGGACAGTGTTAAAAGGATTATTCTAAATGCACCACAAAGCTGGTGTTTTTTTAACAGAGAAAACATATTTTTCACTGCCTTGTACTCTTATTCTCTTATGTTTCTAAGTAATATCTAACTTAACCTACAAAGCTCTAGCTTTGGGAGGCTGGATCCCACCATGTCTTAGCTTTATATGTTCATAGCTGTCACATTTACAAATACTTTAGGTTATTCATACAGTTTCAATCAAACAATAATATGCGTTCAGTTTAGTTTATGTTTGTATAACTGAATTAGACAAAAGGGCCCACACTTGTATTTTGTCCTGACCAAAATACAGCCAAACATATGACTACAACTGTACGCCTAATCTTATTATCTTGGTCTCAGCGGGAAAAATTACCAAAAAAGGTCAAGAGAATAAAGTGAAGGAGAGGCCAATAGGACAGCAACGTTAGGCTGTCAGCAAAAGCACCATAAGCAGCTTTTTTCACAGACGTTCACACACAGCATCCTCTAGTGAGCAGCCCGTTCATCTAATTATTATGCAAGTTAGTTATACAGACTGAGCGTGGAGCCTGTGACAGGAAATGCCATATGGCGATGGGCTCAGAGACAAATAGAACTTAAAACACCGAGTTAAACTCAGAAATGTCACTTTTTAAACGCGTTGAATGCCAGCGTGAGGAAGTTAAATCACTAAAGGGTCCAAACTACATATACATTGTTAACACTGGCCATAAAAACACTCTATCGAGCAACTAGGAAAAAGTAAAGTGAAGCGTTGGAACGACGCAATGGAAGAACAAACAACACCAGAACAGGCGTTGTAATATTGTAATAAAAGCACTTGCATCCTCATGTAGCTCATTCTTACCGTGGTCCGTCGCTTTAATTCGGACTCCACAGTCTGTCACAGATACAGAAGACACTTCTGAGTCTTCCCATCCAACTTGAGAACTTGAAGGAAGAACGTGCCTCCTAAACTTGCAAGATCCACGCGCCTCTCGTCCAATCACAGGCGGTGTTCGCTCTAGTCCCGCCCCTCGCCCTCCTGCTCGACCAATGGCAATGCTGCGACACGGTACCTCACTAGGAAAGCTTCCAAATTGATTGACACACGCAGGTGATGGTGGGTATGTAAAACATACATCTTATGTTGGTGTTCAGTGCATACATAAATTGGACCTCTAGCTATTTTGCCTCTCACTATTATATATTTTTTTTTGCTGCACAGTATATGTTAACTATACGATTGATTCAAACAAATTGAACAAAAAAGCAGACATAAAGGTAATATTTTTCTATTCATTATTTCCTTTATTCATTGCACACCAGTTTTTGTTGTACAGGAGTGTCATTCCTCAAGATCTCAGATCAGCAGGGCTGAATTCAGGACACTCTGACCCAGTCTCATAATGAACATTTGTAGCATCGGGAAATACGCAAGTGTGTTTTCTGGAACCCAAGAAAAGCATCCTACAGATACCAACAAAACAAAGATATAAATAAAAAACATGTTAAATATGCAAATAGGCATTTTATGATTTAGTAAACTTATTCCTCATTTTAGTTGCTGCTTTCTGAAAACGGAAAGCCTTGCTTTAAACAGTACACAACATAAACTGCTCTATATAAATAATAACGATTTGACCTCACTATTTGCTTTAGTAGTTTGTTGTCATATGAGACAAGACTCATACTTGCCAATGCTTTGCCAGCACCGCTGATCAAACACTCCATTCCTGATGAAATAAAAGATGGTTGAAATTACACTGTAGGAGCCAACGGAGAAAAGGGGAAAATCAATGTTTGACCACTTGATCTACTCTCTCTCAGTCTGTCAGTCCAGGATCTCTTTGATGCACCAGCAGCAGAGAAGGAAATACAGGCACTCCTTAACCGATTGGATGAAACCGTAGGCAATGTTTCCACCCATGAAGTTCTTGCCTCGTCCCAGACCCATGGCCATGTCCCGCAGGTGCTGTCCCAGAGAGGAGGAGGGCATGGCCTGGGGAAGAGGACGCTGGGGATGCATGGCTCCGGAGGATGAAGTCGAGCGCGCAGGCTGAGGCAACAAGGAGGGCAATTGATGGGAAGAAATAGGAGGTGAGGTCTGACAAATAGGATCAGACTGGGGCCTGTGCAACAGCTGAGGTCTGCTCCGTATTCCTGGCACAGTCAGCTCCCCTACTTATAACCTCCTATACAAACTGCAGGCTGCCTCCATTCACATCCGGCTTTTTCTCGACTGTTCTCTGCTTTCAAACATCCGCTGATTGATTAAAGGCCTTGTTTACCTTTGCTGTGCAGTGTTCCTCTCAGTTGTACGCCCCACGCACAGACTCTCCCCTAGGCTCTAATAATCCCTGAATCAGCCCCCCACTGTTACAGGATCATCTGTTCACAAACAGGAGAGTTCCAGTGGCTCCAATACAGCCCCCCCTCCACTACATCCCACCCTTTGTTCAGGACAATATGTGATAGGCAATCATACCTTCTAGCAGTGTGGGTGCTTTGTTGTTTCACTTTTTTTTCTGTACTTTGAAAAAAAATGAAAGGGATCTTAAAAGGCATATCCAACAATGTGATGAATACTCAGGCTAAATGCATGCCATCATATCAAAAGCCAAACTCACAAAGAGAGATGAATGATATATGTATTTATATAATGCAATCTATATTTTCAGATACAGGTGTAAACCAACATGTTTCCCTACAAACAAAAACAAAAGTATTAAAACAGAAACATAAAAAGTAAAAATCAATATCTGTGCACGCTATTTGAAAGTAACCTTTGGCTTTCAAAAACACAAATTAAAAAGTACAACAGCATCATCAACACAAGCACCACCACCAACAACACACAAGAAAATTGTTATTTTTGAAAGGATTTTCATGCAACAAAGGCATCCGTGATGAAAGGATGATAACATGGGACCAGTTCACTAATGATGCAGAGGGTCAGGTGGGTCTGATCCAACACACACACAGCAGAACTTAAAGCTCTGGTTTTCCTATCTCTGACCTACAAACAGAGTGCAAGCACAGTGTGAGTGTCTGACTGACCCAGCTGACACTCTGGTATGTGTGTGTGCGTGTTAGATTACAAGTGAGCCCTCTTCAGGGTCTGATTACTAGTTGACAGTTAAGGTTTAGGTTGAAAGATCCCTTCTCATATTTCTCTTTGACAAGTTCAATTGGCTTTAAGAAGAGCTACCTCAATGCTGTGGTTCCTGGCTCTGTGTTTACTTATCAAATGAGTCATTAAATATACAACTATGAAAACAATAATCCAATACTGAGCTGACCAGTCAAAAACCAATGTTATATACAGATGGTCAAGAAATATCCCGCCAAATGGTGACATCAAGTATCTGTGACTATAAGCTGAATGCAAGAATGTGCATCAGAGGAGATTGCCATCACTGGATCTGTTTATGTGTGTTTATTGGAGTGTCATTTTTGCAGAGTCTTTGTTTAACTGAGAGGCTTGTGTGAGATTCTCCTGTAGTCGACTACATTTGAATTAAGTACATAAGGTGACTGCATTGAAGTGACGTGACTGCATTGAAGAAACAAGGCACAATTAAAAAAGACATTAAAAAAACACAACTTCATGAACTGAGGGAGGAGGAAGAGGAAAGGAGAAACAATAGTGTGAACTTCTCCCCCCCCCACAAAATCCTCAAAGGTTTGTGAAAAAAAGCACACTGAGGAGAAACATTTGGCATCTCATCGTTAGCAATGCTCTAAAAACATTTGTCCTTATGTTCAGTTAGCCCCAAATCACTTCATTTTTTTTTAAAAAGGACATTATTCCCTCAAATGATTACAAAATAAAGCAACATCACAATACACAAAAATTACCTAACCAGTTACTACAACATTTGCATCATTTTTGCAGAGAGAAATTCATTGCTTAGGATGTTCAACATTTGTCATTGGCCAACATTTAAAGAGATCTCCTTTAACTACTCCTTTTCAGTCAGAACACTAGATAAAGATAGAACCCATAGATTGTCAATGCAAACACATACTAAGGAGTCAATGAAAAGCAACAGGTCAAACGATCTGGTCTATACTTCTCAAAATGTACTAGTTATTGTGTTTGTGGGAGACATCAACGCACAATTTACATTAAAGATCTCATTTTAGATTACGTATTCAGGCACAGTCATCTAGATTCTTCTGCTCTCTAAAGCAGGCCCATTTAATATGCATTTTCTCCTATCTACATTTGCACCCAATGCTGTAAGCACACCAGACAGATAACTGTTGATAATCATCAAGGCTTTCTCTGCTGTTAGCGACCAAGTTCATGTTCTTTGGCATTACAGGTGGTGCAGATCGTGTGTGGTGTAAAGGTGTGTGTGTATCTGTGTTTACAGAGGGATTAGGGAGATACAGCTGATTCGTTCGACTCAGAATGTCCAATAAGTAAAGAGTCCCAAGATAACAAAGGAAAAAAAAGGAAAAAAAGAACGTATATCATGGCATAGCAGTCCCCAGTTTTGCATACAGGCTTTCCTCATTACCAGGTATCACTCTGGGGGTAGGGGGGTCAAAGTTCAAACATCCATAAAAGGGGAGTGGTTGGGGGTAAGGTGGCCCTCCTGATTAGACTGGAAGCAAACTTGTTTATGCATATTCACCAGGCAGTATTAATACAAAGTCAGGTTTGCTGCTGAAGTGCTACAGGCTCAAAGTGTTTATGTTTAAGCCTGATTCAGTCTCTGAAACAAAGAACCGCTGCCATCCAGTTTGTGTTTTGCCTAATATACTCCAGCAACAGTCTGAGGGAAATCATTCCCAGAAAGAAAGAACAGGTGCTAAAAAAAGCATACAATCTCATTCGAAGTCCCATTAATGCTCCTTTCTTCACTTTTCAGGTCCACAATTTCTTTGTACACAATTCCATGGATTAGTAGTTCTGTTTTTTTTTTTTCATAATCGTACAATAAGATTAGTTTTTTTTTCTGTAAAAAAATTTGCATTTTTTTGTCGCCCCGTTCTTAAATTAGCAAAGGGCTCCTCCCTGGTTCACAGTAGGCTGTTGAGAAATTGCAGCAGTGCTTCTCCGTTGTGGAGGGATGCGCCTGATAGTTGGTGGGGTCAAGGACTGCAGGTCACAGTTTGGCTTTCAGAAAGGAATATGTGGCAACAGCAGCAAGTGAGTGATTTTGCAGAGAAAAAGAAGTTTTTTGTCTTTTTTGGCTTTGCTATGGTGTGTGCATATTTATTATTGTGTATGTGTATCAAGTGTAGTGTTGCTGTGTGTCTTATAGCTAATGCAGGTGTGTTTGTCTTGCGTTGAGTTGAGTTGCTGCAGGAGTGCGTTATATTTGGTGGAGTATTTCATTGGTGTGTGTTTAACGTCAGGCCCTGCGCTCTACTGGCTGTTGCAGACACACTTCACTACCAGCTGATACAATAGGGAGTCTGTTGTCCATGTGGTAGCTGATCAGGTGACTCACACTTTCAAACCGATGGTCTTTTGTACGAACCTAAAAGACAAAAAAAACAAAAAACAAAAATTGCATGTTTAAATACAAGGAAAACACTAATTTAAAAAATCCCATAGCCAATTCATGCTTTTCCCTCCCGTTTGTGTACTCTCTCGCCCGAACTCACCACTCCTTCTGGGTCGACTAGTAGCAGGTGTTTGGGCTGACCACCCTGCTGTCCCGTGAGGACGTACTGTCCCGGTGTGGTCCCAGATTCTCGCACCAAGAAGTCTCCATCGCGGGTCAGCAGCCTCTCTGCTTCCCTGCGACTTAAGCTACCATGGAACCAGGCCTCACACTGCAACTGCTGCACCAGAGGGGGCGCTGCTGTCACTGAGCCTGGGACACTATGCCCAGAGACCCCCAGGGCATCATCAAATGGCTCTTGAGAAATAAATAGACACACATTTTTATTATTGTATTTCTCTCAAATGCATGCCTATATAGCAAAAATAATGTGTTATCCTTAAATATTGTCCGTTTAGTGAACCACATTTCTAGTGGACTGTGCCTTTAATGTGAGGAGCTTTACACAGTCAACCAATCATGTTACATAAAATGCCCCTGTAATGGACAAAGGCACTCTAATTCCCTTATCTTTTTCCAAGGCTGCCTTCTGTGGGCAGCTCCACTCTTCAATTAGCCTGTCATATAGAATGTACAGTACACACTACTCTGCTCATCTCCTTAGTCAATAATTAACCCTTATTCTCTGCACATAGTAAAACAATTGCCCAATTGAGTTACTAGCAATTTTGTTTACAACCTACGCATCTTGTCAGCGTGGGTTGTAAACAGCTATTTAGTTTCCTGACCAGCTAGTTGATTATTTTTCAAACATTTTACCCTGATTTGTCAAGTTAGAATGATTTTCTCAACACAACATAGACAGGCTGAATAAGGCACTTACTCATGTCAAAAGCATCTCTGTGAGCATTCCCATTGGCTGCAACTGGGAGGCGGGGTTTATCCACATTGACGTATGAAGGGTCATCGAACAGTTCCCGTCCCCCTTCTTTGGCTCCCACTGAAAAAAGACAAAACAGACATCAGTGACCTTGGCACATCTTATCATTCCCCCATTAGCCATATGCATTAAATTACATTTTAACCACCCATGACAAGATAAAACAACACAAGAAGTATAGTAAAGAAAATGTGTGATTGAATTCCGTCGTAATTGTGCCTGGATGATTAATCTTCCCATTTCTCCGGATTTACAGTGAATCACAGAGATCCAGACAGACAGGTAGAGACAGAGCTCACCTGGCAGAGGCGGCAGCGGCTGCTTGTGAATGTCATTCTGACCTGGTTGTCCATAAGGCTGCAAACAGAGGCATATAAACAAATAGTGAGTCACAGCCACATGTGGGCATACTCTGGCATACATATTCCTATTAAAAGGGTTACAAAAGGTCAATGATGATTTGTCTTTTACAAACCGAGCAATCCCAGCTGGGTTACTGTTGCCTTTTAATTGTTTTAGGCTCAGAACTAGGCAACTCTGAATAACATGCTGCTTAGTAATTAGATTCCTTACAAGTGTATCATCTCTTGACTACAGTATGAGCAGTGTTTGGATGTGTTGAAACATGTATGAGTATCTCCTTCTCCTGTTGTGTTTATTTGCAGTTTCCTCACCAGCGTGGCACCTGGGCGGGTCCTCATGTCAATCAGTCCACCAGGGGGAGGCTGTTTTCCAGGAAAATTATTATAGTAAGGGACGTCAGGAGGTGGAGCTGCCTCATCATCTTCTTCCTCCCATGCAGAGCCGTCAAACGGAGCCATTCTGGGAGAAAAGGGGTGATGCGAACGCATATACAGAATCACATTATGGGTGACAAAATACAAACATAAGCTTGTGTTTTGGGGCTCATGTGAGTGAAAATGTTCACATTTACCTGTCATGAGGCGTGACCAGTTTGGGGGGGTTCTTCAGGTACTGTTTGAAACGCAGTTCAAAGGCCTGGCCAATGGTGCTGATGACTTCCTGGGCTAAACCCTCTGAACACTCCAGGATATGACATGCTGAAGGAGAGGAGGCACAAATGACTAATAAGGAATGAAATATGCACTCAGCTAATCAACATGCAGGCAAAGTAGAAAACTGCTAACACGTGCACATTTTCAGTACATTCATGTAAATATGCAAGTAATTACTGACAAAGAATAGCTGCTTATCATTCACTTTACCCACATACCCACTCCAGTTGAATGAATAATATTAACAAGGTTATTCATTGGTGTTGAATGTTGGTAGAACCTTAATGGACATGATGTAATCCTAAAAATTTCAATAGAAGTTTTTTAGTTGCTCCTGAGCTCTGTGAGTGCGAAACCAAGGATTGCATTTTTGTCCTCCATTCGTCATCATTGCACGGAAAATCAAGCCACATGTCGACTTATTTAGCACATAATGATGAATAAAGCAGATTCTGCCAAACAATTAAAAACAGGCCTGTTACTTGCTATGCCTATTCATTGGTAAATGTACTGCTGTCTTCGTTTGCTCCGCACAGTTGGTCTGTACGGACTCAGCTCCAGTGGGCGGTGTGTCAAATTCAAAGGGGAATTACAAAATGAATAGAGCCATTTCCTTTACTTAATAGGATTCATTTATATTTTAATGAAATGTTTTGTTTTTTACGGTATTTGCTAAAAGTGCAATCTCAAAACCTGTTTCTCCATCCAGTGAGACTGAATGTAGACTGAACATTTGCAACTCATGTAACAAAGGATCAGGGTGAGACTTCTACTCAAACCAAGGGCAAAAAACTAAAGTAATACGAGTCTTTTAAACATTTTAGACATTAAACATTAAGGTCATTTTCCTGTTTCTGCTCACCTCTCTGGTTGACTGGGTCTTTGGCCACGTATGCTACGTACTCCGCTGTATCCTGAGGGAGACAGGGTAAGACAGTTATGGGTAGGAAGGGAGGGAAAAATGAATAGAAGCAAAAGGGTGAAGGGCAGATTTAGGATAGAAAGGTTGAAAAGCAGAAGAAGAAAGAGATAAAGCAAAAGCAGCACTCTTTAAGTCGTGACAGAAGTTAAAAACATACATTGAACTGAAAGAGAAACGACAGGAAGTAATGAGATCAAGCTTATAAGAGGGAGATTGCAAACCAGCGAGGCAGCAATAGAGTGAGTGGTATTCATAAGAATAGACAATGACAGAAGACAGGAAGGAAGGATATGAAGGCTGAAGAAAGATGGAAAAAGGCCAGAGCGAGATTTGAGCTGAGAGAGAGAGAGAGAGTGTTGGGTGACTCACTGGGTCTCCTCCAGAAGCAAAGGAGATGGACTGCATGTGATGATTGGCGATTATCTGTGGAGAAAAAGAAAGAAAGGAAGAGATAGAGAGAGGGGGAGAGAGAGAGAGAGAAAAGAAACAGAAGGAGAGCACGTGGGTGACATGAAGTATGTGGGAAGTGAGATGAAAGCATGTGGATGGAAAGACAAATGTGGAATCATTACTGAGAAAAGTGCTTTTTCCCTCCAGTGAGCACCATCAACTGCAGCAGAGATAAAAACTAAGTAGGGACAATGGATGGAACACCTTTTTAACAGTCTGCAACAACCGCCCATGTTGGATCAATAACAATACCAACACTTGCTAATGCTCTGTGCACAATGTGTGGTCTATATCTGAGGCTTTATTTCTGAATGGATATATGTGCGCGGCGCGATTATTTGTGCTACGTGTTAATGTGTACGCGCTGCACTACTGTAAACCATCTCCCCAAAGAAATAACCATTGTTCAGCAGCTATTAACTCATTAGAGGTCTGGGAGAAGGATCACATCCTGCCCTGTGGAGATGCAGGAATGAAGACGATGGTTAAGAGGGATTTGTGCAGCATCCAGGATAAATGAGGCAAACAAAGTGCAGAAGCTTGACATTTATCTGGGAATCCCCTGAATGCCCCAAAAGGTCACGGCGCACAGTGCTCTGATGACCACATCACTAAAGATAATACCTTGAGTGGTGAGTGAGGTTTATAAAGATACTTCCTTGAAGTCAAAATCTATTGAAACATGTATATATTTACATTGCTTAGGTCCAAACTTCTGTGACATTTACGCTAACTAAGATCTGTTTATATCATTAATTTGAGCGTGAAAGCAGTCAGATTAATCTTCATCCATCTTTTAAAACATATTCTTTGAAAAGATCATAAAACTCACTATGGGCAATTAATTCAGGTTAGCAGATATAATGATAATGAACAATAACAATGCAGTTTTACAGCAAGATTTAGAATAAAATAAAAATTAAAAAAAACATTGTATGTCTGTATAATCCTTAAAACCACATGAATCCCTCTAGCAGAGAGCTCCTCAGGTTTTCTCTGCTTCAGTAAACTGCACAGGCTAAGTGCACTCTGGATACCAAACATACCTTTGGCTAAAACTGAACTCTAACAATCATCATCAGATCAGCAATTCTGACTCACAGTCAAATCACAGGACGAATCTGAAAAACAATGTACACAACAACGGCTTCAAGAGTCGGCTGGTTTTAGTCTAACCTGTTTGCAGTCGGAGGCCAGCAGGTTGAGGCTGCTGGTCGATATGGTGAGGTTGATTGTCATGCCAGCAAACTGCAGGTTACTCTTCCCCAGGATGGAGGTCAGACAGCGAGAGGAAGGCTGTGAAAAACAGGGATGTGGTCCATGAGTGATAAACAAACAAGGTGTGCAGACACAGAACAACTGGACTTTTTTTTTTTTTTTTTACTTCAACAAAGCACGATGGCCCATTGAGTGCTCCCTGGCTGTGCATGAGCATGTGGGTGTATGTGTGGAAATGTCTGTGTGCGTGGGAGTGAAAGAACAGCTGCGATTGTGAAAGTGATCCTGTCTCCAAGGCCAACTGCGACCAATGGGGAGTAGACAGGACAGTTCACATACTGTAGGCCGGGCCAAGAGCATCACGCAGACCCCGCCAGCACGATTGTGCCAGCCCGTTTATCCCAATACTCTGCCTGTTCTCAGGGCTTTCATCCATATCTGCTCCAGAATATTTGGCGTACGCTGTGAGAAAAACAGCATCAGGGCAGGATGCACATGCTCAGCCACATTAACCTCAGTCGAGCCAAATCAGAGGGACTAGACTACTTTAATCTATTCTGGTTTGCATCCTATAACCGTTTTGTCTGGTGTGCTGCACTGCCAGACATTCCTTGGTCAAAACCTGCTACGGCAACAGGCCGCTGGATTTAGCCACCTGTTTTATGGACTGTGGGTGGATGTTTTTAGTTTTACAGGAATACTTGTGCTCAGACACACAGTCTTTAAACAGCAAACTGGCGGCTGTGTCTGCTAATCTGTAGTGCTTCTACGGCCTGACACTGGCTCCACACAAGCTACTACACCACTGCTCTAGCCTCCCTTGTGACAAGAGGGAGGGAAAACAGAGACCATAGAGTGATTGGTAATTACCTGCGAGTAGTCTACTGACCACAGAAGTGTACAATCAGCCTAAATCAAGATCTGTATGTATGTATGTGTGTGTGTGTGTAAGGGAGAGTGTGTGACTGAATAGCCAACTGACCACAGAGTGGACAATCAAGCTAAATCTAGCTCAGATCCAGAAAACCCTTCCCACTGCCGCCCACTTAAGCCGTATAAATAAATAATGCCCTGTAAGGGTGTGTGCTAGTGTGCGTGGTGTGTACCTTTCTCCTGCGCTGGGCTCCTTTGGCTCCGGGCACTGCCTCACACACCACAGAGATGGCCTCCCTGAAACATTACCAACATGCAAGTGTTGCAATAGCATGTCGTTAACCCTCACACCTTCCCGGACTCACAATTATGCGCATTAAATGAGATATGGCAGCGGGTGATTCAATTTATCGGCCCTGGCAACTGTACTGGTCTTTGCCACGGAGACAAACATCACTACGGAAACCAGAAGGAAACCACCAGGATTCCAGAACATTCTAATTTAGGGGCTGGGAGAGTTGCAGGCGTGTATACCCGTACACACACACACATGCACATATAAGCAGACGTTAACACAGAAAGAAACAAGCAAGCAAGCAAAAGAGAGGGGAAGCGGGACAGAAAAAAAGAGCAAGCAGAAAAAGACACATATGAGAGGTGAGCGGTGGTGTGTGAGTGTAGGTGGCCGCCGCTTCTTTAAAGTATAACCACACATTTACCATTACACCCACCACATGCACATGCGAGAAATGAGATGAGAGGAAGACAGCACGTGAGCAGTGTGTAATCTCACCTGGTGACCTGAGTTCTGGTGTTGAAGTCGAGCGCTCGCATTGACTGTAGCACCTCCACACAACCCATGTACTGCCCAGGAAACAGGAAGGCAACACATTAACATCGGACATTTCCTACATGGCGGTCCCATTGGACAGATGGAACACAACAGAGGAAGAAAAGCAATGGTGTCCTTTCCTCATTTCTGTGTCAGTTTCTAAAAATGTGAAAGAAGCGTGTACATATGCAAAGAACCAGACTGGAGCGAGAGATGTGGAATTATATATTTCAGTCAGGAGTTAGTGAGAGTGTGCCAGTCACTCACCCGTACAGTGTAAGAAACACCGGTGGTGCTGACCACACTGTCGGAGTGCAGCCAGCCACGGGTGGGTTTGTTGACAAAGGAGCCATGGCGCGTCCACTCATCTCCTCCCAGTTGCCCTCCTTCCACCCGTGCCCTCCTGGACGCCCCTCCTAGCCGGTTCATATCCTGCAGAGGAGGTCGGGGAGGGGGAGAAGGAGCGGTTAGAGGGGGGAGTGGGTGATGAAGCGGAGGGGAGGAGCTAGAGCTGCTCCTGTCGTCCCCAGAGGACTCAACGGGCGCCTGTGCCTGCTGCGGCCTACTTGAGGCCTTGAGTCCTGGGAGAAGAGTGGCAGAGACACCCAGACGAAGGGATCCCATTCTGGGGAAGAAGGAGCAAAGGGTGGTGGGGCTGTTCTCGGCCGGGCGGGGAGAAGAGGGGGGCAAGATGGGAGTGAGAGATGAGGAGGAGAGAGAGGAAGGTAAACCGGGGGAGGGAGTGAGCGGGGTGGCAGGACTGGAAGGAGGGAACGATGATGGATTGGAGTTTGTTTCATCAGTTGAGCTCAGTGATTCACTTCGAAAGTGGGTGTACTTGGTTTTTGGGACAAGCTCCATAATGAATCTGCAGTGTCAGTTTTTATATCCGCGCAAGTCCACACAGGCTCTAGTGATTCAATCAAAGTCTCTTTGTCTCAGTATTCAAAGTTTCTCTCGAAAAGGACACACAGCCATCTGTCTGTCTCCCTCAGCGTAAGAGCTGCATCCATCTGTCTGGTTGTCTGTCCTCCACTCATTACCAGGCAGCCGAAACCAAACCGTCTTAAAAACAGCTTCACCCACAATGGAAGAAGAATGAGAAAAGGCGCAGAGGAAAAGTGTGGTGTCCCAGTTAATGGTAGAATGCAGATGAAAAAAGTTTGTTTTTAGTGCACCAGTGCAGATCATGTTGTCATCAGTTCACTTTTAAATCTGCGTCAATGTTCATTGTGTTCCCAGGGACTGATGATGACATAGTTTAACTCTCCACAAAGTGTTCATCAGTGTTTTTGCCATAATGTAAAACAATATCTGTGAGTATCTTGTCCCAGCTTAACAGCCTCTCAGTGATGGCCAGTTATCCAGCTGTCGCCAGCACCATGGAGAATCAACACAAGTGATTGTCTCTCAACGCCCCCCTCGCATGTGTGTCTTACTGCACTGAGCGCTGTGCTCTTGTACGTGATGTGTTTACATGCGAGTGAGACGGTATAAACCTTTCCTACCCACAATGCTTCTTAGATTATGTGTGTGTTGGCGTGTGTGCACATGCGTGCATGTTGTGAAGCAACTCCCCTTGGCAGCTCTATCCTGCTTGACATGGGCCCATAAAAATCCTATTAGCAGCCAACGAGGGGATCGCAAGGGGGCTGCGCGCACCAACACGGCAGCAACACACACACAATTCACAGCTCCAGTTGGTCGATACCACAGCGAGCACCTGCAGAGCTCAATGAAGCCCAGAACTGCTAAAGAAGAGAGAGGAGGCTTACTGATGTGTGGCTAGTATCCAACGCGGCACGCTTTAACACCTACTTTTCAACTGCATCGTATTCTCAAATCTTCAAATCAAATCGGATTCCTCTTTTATTCCCTCTCCCTCTTCCTCCAAATGGTTTCATGTCCTCTCTGAATGGCCCTCGCCCTCTCCCTCCCTGCGTCTCCTTCTTCTTCTTCTTCTCTCCTCTTCCAGATTACTTCTGACACAGCCTCGTCCCCCTTCTCTGCACTCTTTCCTCCCCTCTCTCTGTCTCCTCTCTTCTCCTGGAAGCCCTCTCTCTTTCTCCACACGATGTACTCTGCCAACCTCTGTCTCTCCAACGCCTCCGCCCTCTCCCGCGCCACCACTTCCTCTCTCCTCTTCCAGATGATCTCTCGCTCCCCCTCACCCCCTCCCTCGTCTGCTCGCCCGTTCTCCAGGCTGTCCTGTTTAACAGTCCCTGTCTAGTGTATTGATGGTGAGCCCTGTCTTTCCGCCTCTCTAACTTTAAGATTGGGGATGGCTAGAGGCTAGGCATGATCACCTATTTAGACACTAGTAGAAAACAGAAAGAAAAAAGTTAGTACTTAAGACTGGGCCGGCAGAGTCGGGCCCGTTCCTGACTGAAGTTCCTGATATGGCTAAAACAAGTGAGGCTGTCGTGGTTCAAGTGTGTTGCCTAAAACTCGCCGCCTCAGTTAGGATGTTTTTTTTTTCTTTTTCTCGAGCACCATTAGATAGCGGTAGGTTGATTCTGAGATGTTGTCTGTGTCCGCTACAGCGATAGACAATGCAGTAGCACGGTGGTGATGTAACACCGGAGAATGTAGGTCATTGGCTGATGACGACTACCGGTGGGCTTGTTGTGATGGTAATGAGACCTGATTGGTCCAGTGTGAACTCCCAACCCAGGGTTCCCTGAATGGTGCTGGAGGCTCACTAGAGTTGAACGTGAACTCGCTCACCCTGCTGGAAATGCTCAATTAAAACCACACTGTTGTTAATGCTGATCTCTCTATGCACCTCTCTTCTTACCCTGTTACTGTATTACTGCCTGGTTCAAACACCAAAGCACAGATTATAGTTACCTGAGAGAAGAGCGTTGACACAGCCCCATATGATATGAACAAGCCAAGTGTTAAAGTTCTTGGACCGGTTCCTTCCTTATCTAAGGCAGGGCTTATCGAGCAGCAGGTTAGCTCTCAGTTTTACTTCAAACTATCGTGTAGAAACCACATAACATCTCATATTCTGCATAGACCAACCTAGAAGGCAAACAACAGCCTGTTTACATTAACAGTCTCTCGCAGAGTCCCAAAGTCCCAAAACAGTCTGCAGCAGTTTGATCTCAGTAGGAGGCAAGACTACACCTACAGTCCTGCAGCAAGCTTGCTGGCCTACAGCTCAGTGCTATTGAGGCACTAGTCATATTTACAATCTGTTGACCTTTACTCCCTCAAAAGGAGAGCAAGGTTTACACACACCTTGCCTAGACCACTTACACGACGTTGTAAATCTGGCACCAATGTTTCAGTAATGCCTAGTGAAAAGGTTAATTTTCCCACACACTAACATTTCAGAACTTAACTGTGTCTGAAGTACAGCGGGCCAGCTTGTAGTGGGCGCTGGATGCATGGCAAAGGAACAGTCGCCTACACTAGTCTAGCACCACAGAGGGATTGTCTAGCAATTCTAGCTAGTCATCCATCTGGTCTTGGCTAAAAAGCACCATGGAGGATCCAGTCACACTCATGTACTGCCAGACCAGCTGGGATAATCTCCAGAAAGCTGTAAAGAAGTATGGCTGGAAAAGTCACAAAAGACACCCGGTATTTGGACAATCAAAGAGCATGCAGAACAAACAAAACAGTCCGTAACACCCCTAATAGAACCAGAAAGTAGTACTGACAGGGAATTAGCACTTAAAAAGGCAAAAGATTAACACTAGAGAGGAAAATCCAGGTGTGTTCCCATATGCAGGGGTGCTGAAATGCTATAGTTAACCCTCACACTGCCCAACGATGTTTTAGTGCACAGGACACAGTGTAGGTCAGGTGACTGCAGAGGAGATGACCCTCTACATGAGGAGAGATCCTGAATCACCTACACACAGGCAGTAATAGGAACAGACTGTCACAAACATTAGCACACCTAATGATCGGTGATTAGTGGCCTTGAGGCCAAGCAGCTGCACAGAGTGAGATGTACAAGTGAAACCAGTACGATAATCTCATTTATCGGGTCATTCCTGATAATGGCACATCAGCTTTACTGATGAAGATGGTGGTTGCCATTGATAAAGGTGAGATCAGGACAAACAGGGCCGAGCCAACGTGCACAAGACGAAAGAAGGGAGAATGGGAAGGGGGAGACAGGTGACCTGAAACAACCCTGATTCTCGGAGACTGCCGAGCTTCGCATAGACAAAGACTGTCAAGGAAAGAAAAAAAAATCCTGTCTAAGAAAGAAAGTCTAAAAACTGCACACAAGCATGGACTAATCAAGTCTACTGCTTCTTGTCTACTAGATATATACAATTACCTAATGGAACAGCACCAGTTTTAAGAAATAAGACAAGAAAAAAGAACTTTACATCTTGTTCTGTCTGCAGCTGCCGCCCGTTGCTATGGCAACAGACATTAAAAGAGATGCCTGCAGAGGATATAATCTGAGAAGTCCCGACAACCGCAGAAATCTTCAGACAAAGAGATAACTGCTTTGTCAAATCACATGGCAGCAATTAGTTGCTGCATCAAAGGCTCCACATTAGCGCTTCTTTTCATCCAACAGGAGGAAAAACTACAGACTCCCAGAAAGATCAATAGGTTTCAGGAAATGATCAAAGTTTGACCAGCGTCGCGCCAGCCATAAAACCCAATCAATGTTGACATCCCATGTCGGCTGCATGCACTGACTCCAACTAGGGCATGTAAAACTGTATGTCTGATATTATTTCAAAAGAACAATAAACACTTTCCTAATAACAGTATAAACAACAACAACTACACTAACCATTTACTTCTAAAAGACAACACTGATGTTTAGAAAACTTGCATAAAAACAACCTGAATATTCTGTGCAGCAGCTAACAAAGACAATGATTGTATAACATCCTGCAGAGTAGATCTTATGCTCATAGAGAATAGAAAATCAGAAGTCATAAAGAGAGTCTATATTTCTAAAAAAAAAAAAAAAAGTAATCAAATTGTTCTGTATAAAGTGACTCTAATCAATGTCAAGAGTTCTTTCTTTTTTTTAATGAATGGCAAAGAATAAAGAGTAGTTCCTTTTTTGGTTTAAAAAGCATACAGTTGATAATCCATGGCGATTCATCTAAAGCTGGGCACACATGAGAACCACATTAATGTTTAAACAGCCACAGACTGTCCGGTCATCCGTCCTCTCCTTCCTCTTTCTGGATCTCTCGTCCGTCCACTCCCTGAAAAACGTGCTTCTCCTCTGATCCGCTCTTCCGCTCGATTAATTCACAAAGTCACTGCCGGCAGCTCCTCTCCATCTATCCTCTCCTCCGTTTGGCTGCCTCCTCTTCTCTTCCCTCCTCTGTCTCTCTCTCTCTCTTTCAGCAGATGGTGAAAAGGCAGTGCTGCCAGCATGGACAATGGCACTCCTTCATTGTGCTCCTCTTCTCCCCTCACGTCTGTCTCTCATTCCCACTTTCCTTCCACCTCTGTCTGATAGGGGGACGATCACGCTGTCTGTCCTCCCCTCCTCCCAGTCTGGGTGATGCTGCCTCCCATTTTCTCTCTAACCGTCTCTCTCCCTCTCTCTCTC